TTATAAATGCCCTGCACCGAGTAAAACGTTAAAAACTTTAAAAATAGTTGTTTATCATATTATATCAACCAATCGAAATGCGCGTTACCATTTGTGTTTCAAAAGTTGCTATCGAAGAAACTAAGTTGGGAGGATGGTAAAAATTAAAAAAAAATCGATTATCCACACTTAAAGTGGAAGGCACATGTCTTATGTCAACTATGATTATGTTAAATATAATACACTGTCTGAATGAGCAACAAAAACTAATTGGCCAGAACATTCAAAATGATTTAATAGTATTTAATCTAATATATTATATATATATACTCGATAATGTTTTATGTTTCATGTTTTAGTAGTTTTATATAATATCTGGCCTTAATAGATTTACTGTCAACATTTATCAAATAGTTAACTTCTAGTTCAAGCGCTAGAGCACCTAATTAAGATTGCCTAATCTCTTATCTGTATTTTCTTATCTCTTATATGTTATCTCTTATCTTTAGTATATTATCTCTAATCTCTTATCTCCTATCTCTTATCTCTCGTACCTTATCAGATAGTTATTTGTCAGTTTATTCATTCAAAAAACAACCGCTAGATCACACGCACATATTTTATATGGTAACGTTCAGCGTGATGCACAGATTTTTATATTGACCCCCAGCCAATTTACATGAACATAAAATGATAAACTGATAAAATGTCGACCCTGTACTAAGTACAGTAAAATACTTTTTTTACAAATGGAACAAATACTATTGTATTTAAACAATATTCATAATAATTTAAACGCCATAATTTGATTCCAAAATGAACTGATAACAACCGTTTTCACAAAATCTTATTTTTGCACGTTTGCTAAGTTTTAGTAGACCAGGTCACATTAAAAAAAACTACTAAAAAGGGAGATTACTGAAATAATAAATACACATTACAGCTGTTACAGCTTTAAAATAGTCTTTCAAAAAATTACCCCTTTTGAGCTGCTTAATAAATAGGGGTTAATAACCATTAAGCATGTAGCAGTTTTAGGATTTACATTATTTTTTATATTAAGTGTTATAAGAGTATGATATATAAGAGTTCTAATAAAGCATTGTATTTAGGTAAAGAATATGTTTTATTTCTACATAGCGCACATTTCGACGAGCACAAAGCTTATGAAATGCTTGTCAACTACTACAAAGTCCGAAAACAACTACCACATATATTTACCCCGAGCGATCCAACGGAAGAAGAATTAAACAAAATGTTTGACGTCATGTAAGGAACGGATGTATAAAATCTACAATTATATAGACACATGTATCAGACAGAAACAATAAAAGTGTTGTTAATTAAACGTTTGTTTAGGAGTCATTCCATATTGTACACCGAGAACGAAGACAAAGGGATTCGTTACTTGTACACGCAATTCAAAATCACCAACGCCAAACATTTTAAGTTCGCAGACCAAGCCAAATATTATTTCTTAATGGTAAAATGTTTACTCGTGGAATACGGAACGTTTGACGGTGTAGTGGTCGTATGGAATTTAGTTGGCCTCAATTATTGGCACTTGAGAAAAATCAAAATATTCTACAAAAATCAAATCATTAGACTGTTGAACTTAATACAAGTGCGTATATACTGCCTTATAACTTTTAACGGTAACAATTTTATAATATAAGTTTCTATTTCTCTCTTCGTGGACGAACTGGTAACAGGTTAGGTTAGGTCTTAACCAAGTTTAATGGCATTGTAACAAGGCTGGATCTAGAAACGAAAAAAGGGAAAAGTTAGAAAAAATATTCTTTTTCTTTATTTTCGCCTTACACACCGAACTACATGGGGTCAGCAACTGTAGTCCTACACTTCTTATCTATCCACTTTTCTTCTCACTATCCTCTTATCACTCTCTATCCATCTTTTCTTCGGTCTTCTTTTTTTATTCCCTCTACATCAATCTTTATAACACCTCTCACTTCCTCTGTCTCATATCTTCTTCTAACGTGACCGAATCATCTCAACCTGTTCTCTATCATTTTTCTCACAATCGATGCAACTCATAGACTCTCCCTTATGTATTGATTTCTTATTCTATCTTCCCTAGTCACTCCACTCATCTCCACCACACTCATTCTCTGTTCAGCTTTCTTGTCTACTGCCCAACATTCCAACCCATATAACACTGCCCCATAATTTTCTCCAAAATCAAACAACATTGTCTCCGACTTACTCCTACTAATCCTACCAAGTCCTTTCCCTTCAAGCGCTTCGCTCGATTCATCATAAATATCAATAAAACCGCAATGTGTAAAAATGACTTGATTTTGTTATTTATTTAAAGGATAATGCACCATTACGGATAAAAGAATGTCACATTCTAAACTCTGGGGCAGTGACACTTTACGCATATGCTAAAGTAAAGTATATTTTAAACAAAGAATTTCGGAAAAAGGTTAGTTCCAAATGTCTAGATAACGGTTTAAGTACGATAATTGTTGTATATTTAAACATATTCCAACATTGCAAACGTTACCATACAAAAACTTACATTATTTGCTATAACTAATACAAAATATTTCGACTAGAACTACTAATATAAATTTGCTAATAGCTTAATTGAATTAAAACATGACCAAAAAAGTCCACAATCAACATTATAAAGTTTAAAATTTTTTTGGAGAAATATAAAATAATTTTTTTTCTGGAATAAAACACATTTTTTTGTTGTAGTTATGATAAATAATTATTTAAATATTGGTTTGGTAACGTTTGTTATTTGCAAACAATTACATTTTATTTTTAGATTCATTTTCACAGACCAAAATCGGCGGAAGTTTTCAAATTTGTGCCTAAGGATATTATGCCAATGGATTTTGAGGGCGGTTGTGGATTGAGTCATTCAGAACAATCTGGTAACGATCAAGATGCTTGATTGATATACTTAATTTAATGTTTTACAAACATTAAACGTTACACGTGGTATTTGTTTTTTTTTCTAGAGACAACTTTGGAACTAATGAAGTCTCTACGCGATCGGTACATGCCGGGTGATATTCTTAGTTCTGATGATAAAGACCAAGATGAAAACCAAGATGAAGACAATGATGAAGAAGTTCCATTAATCGTCTAATAATTATATTTTTTTTTTTAGGAAACCTAAGATAAAGACTAATATGTAATATAGGTTTAAAATAATAACCAAAATCAAACTTATGTAACATGTGATTTTGTTTGATTAATTATTAAAAAAGATATTTAGCAAAAAAGAAAAGCTTATACCAATCTCTTAATTATTATAACTGAGTGATTAAACCAGTGTGACCGAAATAAGATGAGGTTTATAAAGGTTGTCTGTCTAGCCCAGGAAATTCATTCAAGCCATCCCAAAATTGGAACAACCAGGTTTATCATTATTAGAGCAGCTTATTTTTATTGGTATTTTAGGAGAGTTAAACTATGATTTTAAAGCAATATTCATTTTTACTAATAACAAGTTTAAATAGTATATAATAATCTGTGCTGTGCTTAAGTATGGTATAAAACACTATGATTCGTGTGATCGAGCTTGAATTTAGGAATTTTTTTTAATTATTTTAGGCATAGACATTGTAGTTTGCTGATACTTATGTGTCTGTAGATAATAGACAAATGAATAATAAAATATTTGGTAAATATTTAATGTCAAAAAATACTGTTACACGCACAAAATTTGGGAAAAACCGTAATACCATATTTACTGATTTTGCAATTATTTGTCAATATTGTTACATATTTTAATTGTATTTAAAACAAATGGTAATAACCAAATACCTGCGTACAACGCAATTGCAAGTGTGTATAGATTTATTGTAATGTTCATTGGATTTATAGTTTTATTATGTTTAGAGGTGAAAATGTTACATTGTTTTTTAAATATTGAATTCAGTCATTTACAGAATTCGAAGTTGACCCAAGTCTCAATTAAAAACAATTAACACAGTACTGCATTGAACCACTTGCGTATGGACTAACCGGAATAATTTATAGATCACTTTTTCTTCTCTTCATCTTTTTCTTCTTTATCTTCGCCTTACACACCCAACTACATGAGATTGGTCACTTTAGTCCTACACTTCCATGATCTTCTACATCTCATTCAATCACCCCAGATATCCTCTTATCACTCTCTATCCATCTTTTCTTCGATCTTCTTCTTACTCTCTTTCCCTCTACATCAATCTTTATAACACCTCTCACTTCCTCTGTCTCATATCTTCTCCTAACGTGACCGAATCACCTCAACCTGTTCTCTATCATTTTTCTCACAATCGATGCAACTCATAGACTCCCCCCTTATGTATTCATTTCTTATTCTATCTTCCCTAGTCACTCCACTCATCCATCTTATCGTTCTCATCTCCGCCACACTCATTCTCTGTTCAGTTTTCTTATCCACTGCTCACCATTCCCCAAGCCATATATAACAATGCTGGCCTCACTACCTACCTATAAAGTTTACCTTTCAATCTTATAGGCATCCTGCTGTCATACAAAACACTCCATGCTCCCCTTTACTTCATCCTTCCTTAATTTATTCTATTTTTCACATTCCCCTGGACCCATTGTTTTTTAAAACATCATACACCATGGAATAATTTCGAGATATAATTTGTTTTTTTTAATGTTTCTATGGGACTTTATTTCAAAAAAAAAAATGGACTTATTTCTTCTAGATTATTGTAGAAGTAGATATTTGAACAACGGTTTTTGAATAACCTAGAAAAGAGGCCAAAAGTAGGGTGCAATACAATATTCAATTTTGTTTTTGAAATATTTCAGTGGCTTACAGCATACGAAAAATACGCCCAAGCCTCAACTAAACAACTAATATAGTTATGTACATATATGATAAGCTATTATGAAAAAAACAAAATATGTTTTATGATTCACTAAGGCTTAAAACTAACTCAGTAACGTACATTCAACCACTTGCGAAAGGTCTATCCTAAATAATTTAGTGATACATTTTTGTTTTGTTCAACTTAATCATGAACAAGCGACAAAGTTATTTGGCTATTTGGTTCTTCGTTGTTTTTGTAATCCAAGGTAATATAAATTCAATTTTTAATTATTCTGCTGATAAATATGTCGTACATTGACAGCTAAAGACATAGCTAACAATAAAAAAAATAACAACGAAATCCGTCGTTGCATAACAACAAGATAACTAAAAGGAAACTATGGTACATTTAAAAAACGTAGCTATTTTACGAGTTCGTCCACAAAAAACTATTTTTCAATGTACATTTGTTTTTTTAACGAATGCTTTATAATTTTGCCTTAATTATTACCACTTAATGGTTTGATTTAATTTACAAAATATCAATTTTTTATTTTTATTTAGCTATAGGAATTTTGCAAAAGTTGTAAAATTGGGCCTCTGTTGAAGTTTATATTTATTTAAAAAAAACACTTGTTCTGTGTATGAAATGAACATGTATAATTAATATCATGCACAATACTTTATTCGCATGTTTAAAAAAACAAAAATAAAAATGCCATATAGAAAACCATATTTACTTTTACAATATTATAACACTTAAAAGAATCATAATGTTTTACTCACAGTTGTACTTTGGTTTATAAAATAATACTTATTAGGCCCTTTTTCAAGTAAAATAAAATAATGTTTTCTCATAACAGTATGTTCAGGTATATGCATACATGACCAATTTTTTTATTATTATACCACAACAATTTATGTGACTGTCGTTGCATATACATTATAAGTTACCATAGTAGAAAACAGACAAAAGAATAAGAATATATTTGGTAAATATGCTAAAATTTACACGCATAAAACTTGGGAACAGCTGCAAAAACCGTAATACTATACTGCTGCTTTTGAAATTATTTGTTAATATTGCTAAATATTTTTATTATATTTAAAACAATTGGTAATATGGTCATTAAAACCAAATACCTGCGTACAGAATATAGGATTCCGAAAGTGAGAAAATTAAATTTTTTATTTAATTTTATAATTTTATCTTTACGAGTGACAACTTATACATTCAGCGCGTCAATGTTTTTAATTACATTTTTGAGTACTTAAGAGATACGAAGAGTATATGTAAATGTAAAACGTAGTAATTGTAATACAATAATAATTAAAAATCAGACAACAAAAATACCAAATAATACAAAGTCACCCAAAATGCAAAAATCACAGATTAGCGTCGCAGCTAAACAAAGACACATCACAATGTCATTTGTCAATTAACTGCGTTCAGCAACAACGTTATGTCGGACGTCGTGATGGTGGGAGTTCCCCCAACCCGATCCGATCTGTTCCCTCGGTCTGACGCCGCAAGGTCATCTTATAAATAAAATATTTGATAAAACAAGTATCTCTATACCTTTAGAAATGATGTACTATTTTGCTTGTAAATAAGAAAGTATTCAACCAGTCTTATATGACTATCTGCCCGATCCTTTCTATACAACTTTTCCATTCTACTGATATCACATATGATCAATTCTGTTCAGCCGTTCAATCACCAAAAGGTGGAAACATATATAGTAAAATGTACAACAGTTTAATGGGGTTGCGATTCTTCGTGTATAGTATACATAGCGGTGCACGCTATGCTATTTTTTTTACTTAGCTCCGCGCCACTACCTTGTCGATGGCCTTATGAAAAATAATTTTGTTATGTTCTATTAGGTAACCAATTAGTATTATAATTTCAATATTTTGCAGGGATTCGTACGTATGATCCATCTGTTAGCTATGAAAAATTTCTCGAGAAGGAAAATAGTAAATACGCAGAAATATCTAAACAAAAGATTAATGAACTCATAAATCTTGGAGAGCTAACTGAAGACTTTCCGATGATAAACTGTACGTCCGTTGCTATTAATTTCTTAAACATTTTTTTGTGTGTGTTGATGTTTCGGTTTATAATAAAGTTGTTTGTATTATGTGGTTGGCTTTTATAATTATTAACTGCCGAAGAACACTAATAATGTTATTTTTATCAGTTCAAATATGCATATTATTGTCTCCATTTCAATAGGTAAAGAATATATCTTGTTTTTTCATGCTGCACACTTCAATGTGGTAAATGCTCGTGCCATGATATTCAAACATTATGCACTTCGAAAACAAATGACAGAAATATTTAACCGTGACGATACAGATCCAGAACTAAGCGAGTTGGACCAAGCTAAACGCGTCATGTAAGCAACAATAATTTAAAAAATGTATAAATGCGGTATTAATATTGGCAAAAACGTTTTACTAGTCAAATTTGAACTACAATCTTAGAATTTTTTTCTAAAGTCTCAAGATGTATATTTAACTTTGACTCTGAACACATGTTATAAATAACATTTTAAATATTCCAACAATTAGGCTGATATGAGTTTTAGGTATAGTTGCAATAACTTCATTCTCTGTACATGTAAATACTATAACATGTTATTTTGTTCTTCAGGAGCCATTCGATATTGTTTAGCGATTCGTATCAGACAATACGTGGCCTTGTTGGATATCGTTACATATACACTCGTTTCGTAGATACAAATCCTGCAAATTTTGTATTCATCCAGCAAGTCAGATACTTTTTCTATATGATAAAATGTATGCTCATAGAATACGGAACGTTTGACGGTCTAGTTGTGATCGTGGACGGAGCAGGTTTCACAATGACTCACGCTAACAAAATCAACTCTCATCTACTCTCCCCTTTATTGAAACTCATAGAAGTACGTGCAATATCGATATTATACTCTAAGGAAGTACTCAAAAACAGCTAAGTAATTGTTATGATCAAAATGCGCTATGCAACGTTCTAGCAACCATGCCAGTGTACCATGACATAAACCAATTCGCCTGGTTATTCTCACCCTGATATCTCTGCTTACTTTTATGACGGGCTTCTGAATTTGGAACTTGGCCCTTTTTCAAGGTTGGGTTTTCGTTGGAGTGCATGAAATGATACATAAAACAATTATAATGGCCTGTTATAAAAAATCACTTTATAGTAAGATATTTATACATTCTTGTTTGATTTCAAAGGAGGCACCACTGATGCGATTAAAAAATATTTTCATTTTAAATACAAATGCTGCGATGACGACGGCATATAGAATGGCCTCGCTAAGATCTCCAGATCTTTGTCAAAAGGTAGAAGCTTCAAATTAGCACTTGAATGAAAGTCTTATTTTTAATAATAATATCATAAATATGAATAATGTAATATTGTTTTTACGGTAGATTGTGCTTTGCTATGGAAGTTCGAATAAAGTGTACGAAGGTGTCGACGGTGTTCCCAGGACAATTATGCCTATAAATGGATATAAGAATGGATTAGGACCTAGTCACGAAGTCCAAGCCTGTAACCATTAGGATGTCTTACAATTATTTAGATATTTAATGCTTATAATGAAATTATTTGTTTTGCAGCGACAACATATGAACGAATGGAAAGATTTCACAATCGTTATGGACCGAATACAGTTGATAATTTATATGAAATATCTATTATGTGATATATTAAACTATATACTTCATATTTAAATAAAAAATTACAGTTATTAATATTGTTAACTCATATAAATCAATTACATTAAACAGTTATAACGTTAATAATAGTAACAAACTTTATTATACTATATTATGTTTCAACTCAAGTATGTATCTCTAAAATTGATGTTATTGAACAGAAAAAAGAAAAGCTTACACCAATTTCCTAATTATTATGACTGAGTGATTAAACCAGTGTGACCGAAATAATGTGAGGTTTAAGAAGGGTGGCTCGAAATTTACTCAAGCAATAAGAATATATTTGGTTAGTAACTAATGCCAGAACGTAATCTTACACGCACAAAACTGGGGAACAACTGCAAAAACAGTTATACCATATTGAGTTAATATTTGAATAACCTAGAAAAGAGGCCAAAAGTAGGGTGCGCTATATTAATCAACTTTGTTTTCAAAATATATTAGTTGTTTACGGGATACAAAAAAAAACTTTTTTAAAAACATGTTTTTATAAAAAATGCCGGGATGTCAACCCGGCATTTGCCACCCTCATGTCTGGGTCCCAATATTTTGACGGAAAACTGTATTGTCATCAAAAATTAGTGTCTGGGTTAAAGTTCAGCCCTTTACGACATCAGGAAGTGGGTTAAATTATTTTTAGAAGATATAAAAAAAACATGAAATTTTAGTGAAATGACCCCCACATTTGACCCTGTGTGTTCGACTTGGATGTCTAAGTCCCAGTATGGTTACAGGATATTGTATTGTCATCTATAATGAGTTCTGTGCAAAGTTTCATACCAATACGACATCGGGAAATGGGTTGAATTAATTTTTCAAGATTTGAAAAATACCCGTACAAATGTGTTAGCGAACTAAATAATGAAAAACATGTAAATACGCCCAAGCCTCAACTAAACAACTAATACAGTAATGTACATAAGCTTTTATGAAAAAAACAAAATATGTTTTATGATTCACTAAGGCTTAAAACTAACTCAGTAACGTACATTCAACCACTTGCGAAAGGTCTATCCTAAATAATTTAGTGATACATTTTTGTTTTGTTCAACTTAATCATGAACAAGCGACATAGTTATTTGGCTATTTGGTTCTTTGTTGTTTTTGTAATCCAAGGTAATGTAAATTTAATTTTTAATTTTTCTGCTGATAAATATATCGTACATTGACAGCTAAAGACATAGCTAACAATTATTGTTGTGTAGCATACTTCATAATAGTTTGGAATGCTCTGTGTAGCATTATGTTGATATTAACATTAATATGCGATTGCAAGTGTCATCGTGGTTATGTCGACACCTTTGGTGTCGGGTGTCCTTGGCTCGTCGGTTGACACGAGCAAATCGCCTAGTTAGTGAGTCGGAATTCAGTAGTTCCTTAAAGCAGAACTCTTATAGTTCCAGAAACTCTTTAAAGTTAAGTTTTATTTTAAAATTGTAATTCGTATTAAATAGTATATGAGGTTAATAATAAAAATCTACAGTTTATTTTAGTTCAATAAAACATATTGGTTATTCTTTCTTTTTCAAAAACACCTTATTTTTGTCTGGCCTATCCATTTACATCATCTGGTAGCAGCGGTAACCCATTTAGTTACATTATAACTGTGGGTATACTCACGGATTCCGGCCTTGAAAACAAGGGTGTCTGTTTGTCATTGAAGCAACCAATTTCTTTTTACATATTTTAATAGTGCGAAAAGTGTGCATTCGCCGTTTTGTGTTGATGTGTTATTGTCACCGCCGTCGTTCGATCGTCCCCTCTCGTAATTCAATCGTTCAGCGCTACCGCGGCCGCCGCTGATGGAACGCACTACCATCGTTTTCCGCCGCCGTATATCAAACCGGTACGTTTAGTAAGTCCCGCCGTAACCTAGTTTTACGCCGCCGTAGTAACCTACTTTTAAGTCCCCGCCGTCTTGTTTATTAGTAATATTCCGAATATCAGAGCATTTTTAATTCAAGTATCTGAGCATCTTTATTTCAAACATCAAATCACCACTATTTAAATGGCAGTTCAATCAACAAAAAGCGTTTTGATTTTAATTGACAGAGAGTTTGCCATTCACATCATCTGGCCGTTCAACAGTCAACCAATTCCCCCAGAACATCTTCAGGGCACCATCATCAGATATGTATTTTTTGGCAACAATATTGTAAAAAAAATGTTTATTTATTAGTAGTACGATTGCATAAAAATTTTTTTTTTCTTTTTTGTCATTTCGAAAAACATTTTTTTTTTCTTTTAGGGGAAAAGAAAGCTTAATTTTTAGTACTAACTAGAATAAGATATCTATCAATTATAATTACACACATTAAAATAATTACGTTTTCATCAACACGTCCCTTAATCGTTGTATACCGTTTGTATAGTGGTATTATATAGTAGTTGGTATATATATATATTAAAAAAAAAAATTGTTCAATAAATCTATCCCGTAATATACAGAAACTAGTAGAAGCATCCGTACTCAGATATCCAAATTTTGAAGAACCATTTATCCTCACTACGCAAGTCCAATTTCGATTGGCAGTATCCTTTCTCAAAGACCACCCAACCATGATCATCTTGTGGCATATGCTTCTCGTACCTTAAAAAAAGACGAAGATGCATACAGCACTACCGAAAAGGAACTATTGAGCATAGTTTGGTCTGTTTAAACTTTCAGCCCTTTCCTTCTAGGACGCAAATTTCAGATATACTTTGATCACCGTCCGGTAACCTGGCCTTTCAACATGAAGCATTCAGGATCCTGTTTTTTGCGATGGGGGCTAAAATTGGCAGAATACCAATATGAGGTTATATTTAAACCTGAAGCCAAATATTAAGCCGATTCATTAAGCCATGATTTCCAAGACTTCAGCACAAACCATTTCACTTAGGTTTTATGAGTACTAAGAACAAATTTCAGGCACTAAATTCAGCAACAAAAAGATAAAAGAAGAAGCTGGAGATCTTTTTAATGCACATTCGGCATGCCATCTGGCTCACTGTGTTTTACGAGACCTAAAAATGAGCTGAGGCACTGCTTTGATGTTTCGACGAAAGTTTGGCCAAATAGATGCATTAAAAATTCAAAATCCAAAGGTACATGAAGTTATCTATATTCGTCAAGCTTCACGATACATACGATATTTGATAATAAAAAACAAATATTGGCAAAAACCTAGCATGGAGGATCTTTACAAGACACTGATTAATCTTAATTAAGACAGTTGTCATGAGCTTAAAATTGAAAAACTAGCAATGCCATGCATTGGAAGTGGGTGTGATGAACTAGATTGGTCTGAAGTCTACAACATGATAAAATACATCTTTAACAATACAAATATGTCCATCAATATTCACTCAAAGTCTGAACTGTCTAAACTAGAAAAGCAACAATTTATCTCTGAACATCATACTAACCTGCTAGGAGGTCAACGAGGGTTGAATCAAACAGTAAAGCGAATATAGACCCAATTCGATTGGAAAATATTACTGAAGGCGTCAGAAAATTCGTATCCACATGTCAATCGTGTCAGATAAATAAGACCGGGAACCGTCATGTCAAGCAACCAATGGTTATGAGCACCCCATCGACAGAACCAATGTAAAAGTTATTTATAGATGTCGTGGGACCGTTACCTAGAACGGACAGAGGCAATGCCTACATATTGACAATGCAAGATGACCTTACAAAATACTCAATTACTTCACCTATGGCCAATCATGAAGCAAATACAGTAGCCTACTACTTTATCACAACATGTGTCTGTATTCACGGAATACTGCAGACGTTAGTCAGTGATCAAGAGACGGAATTCCTTAGCATAATCATGGCAGAGACTTGCAAGCTTTTAAAAGTTCATAAGATTAACACCTCACCTATCATCCACAAGCAAATGGAACCCTTGAGAAAAGCCTTGAACCCTGGGAGAGTATCTAAGGCACTATACTGACAAGGACCAAAGGAATTGGGATTACTTTATTCCGTATGCCATATTTATCTTTAATTCTTCTATTCACTAATCAACGGGTAAACAACCTTATCAACTAGGAGCCTAACATATCCTAAGCATATAAGCCACATCGTCTATTTGTACATAACCGTTTCTATTAATCTACAACTAACCAGTAAATTTGGGATGTCTTAACTCGATAAGAAAAAATTCAGTTTCCTTTCCATTATCTTATTTTTTTCAGATTGGCAATAACCTCATCAACATACGCGAATATTGTGCATCAGCCATTAGGAGACGTGCATCCAATAATCAATTAATTTAAATTAGTCACATACTTAAATATTTCTGCTATCACCGTTAGTCAAATTAATGTCGTTAAGGAGTTAACCCTTTTACAAGGCTTATGCGACAAGTATCTTCGTCAAAACCGGACGTCAACTTTACAAGCAAGCTGTGACTGGATGAGGACTAGCGTCATAATCATTCATAAACGAATTTATCAAGTTATAGAAGAGATATTCAATGCTGTCGGTTCAAATAGAATTTTGGCAAGGAAAAGACGTGGACTCATAAATCTCGTAGGTCGTGTCTCTTAAGTATTTTTTTGGACTTGCTCAGTTAAAGATGCAGAATTCTTGTACACTAAGTCTGCGGAACTCAGTCGTTCTTCTAGCGAAACATTACATCTCCTTGAGA